ACCCGGCACAGAACAATAAAATTAGAAAAACCTTCGAATCGATTTATAATTGATGTAAAATAATAAAAATATATATATAGGCCAACATTATGTCCATATATTAAATGAGATAAAATTTTAATTAGATAAGGCATTGGAAAATAATAAACATCAACAGAGCTACATCCCATTCAATCATTTAGTTTATTCCTACCGGGACATACAACCCTAAATAGTTCATATGTACAGTCAATATTAAAAAGTAGACGTAGGAAGTAGTACCGCGCGGGATGAGCATACAGTTTAAATAAAACAATAATAATCAATAATAGAAATCGTATAACTTCTGAAATAATGGTATACACAAATTATTATTGTATTAATGACAAGCATCAATAAATGCGCAAACATTTAAGAAATATGGAGACGAGAAATTTGGTTATCTTTGGTATTTGATGTACTACAAATAGTTACTTCAAATAGTGGTACTACAATTATAATATTGAAATACATTTTAGTAGACAAATGAATGTTTTTTTGAAAATCAGCTAATCAGTTCGAAACGCCGTTGGAAGTAGAATAAAAAGTTTGAAATTATAAGGGCTTATATATTCATTGAAGACACCATATATAAAAAGTCTTCTTATTTTAGTAAATTTTTAATATTTTATTTTATCTTTTTTTTTTTTTTGCACAATCTCCATTAGTGTTGCCCAAATGCGAGACCGAGACAATGCTTGGTCTTGCAAACTTAGTCTTGGTCTTGCGCAAGAGTCTTGTACTTACTTATTAGCTTATTACTATAGAGATATTACAGTCATTTTTTAGATAGGACAAACCTAACTAAGCCCGAATGAAAAATTAGAAGATTTAAATACAAAAGTTAATTGGTTATGGCTATCATTAACTTAAATTAACTAAGATTGTCAAGTATTAGTAACTCTTTTGCCTTAATTTTTATTTTAAAAATCGATTTTTTTTTACCTGTCCTGGTCTTGGCCTTTCAACAGTTACACGGCCTTGGTCTTGGTCTTGGAAAGTGCAAAACCAAGACCGATTTCGTACAACACTAATCTCCATATAAATACGATTTTATCTTTCTTTGAAATAAAAACACTCAGCTGTTCTAACTTCATTTAATCGATTCTATCAATCGTTCAAAATAACTTTCTTAAATAAGTTTCAGGGATCATGATTTTGAATTTTTAAAAACATTTTTTTTTTTTTTAATTGATTCTATTTTATTGAATAAATAATTATTTTTTTATTAAGTTGGGACGCTTTAAAAAGTTGGTTGCTTTAAAGATATATTTTTTAAATACAGTAAATGCCAATTACTATTTAATTATTTCGACAATAATGCATTTTAACAAATTTCGCATTTTTCACAATGCCGCACTAGAGGATCCAGGATTTAATTTTTTATTTTTTTTTTGGGGTGGGGCATCAGCCCGAAAGATTTTTTTCCATATACATATAACGAGAATTAATTTGAAAAAAAAAAGGAAGAAATTAATTACCTATATAAGATGGTATTTAAATGGTTCTTGAAGTCCTATTAAATGTAATTACACGAACAAGAATACTTTAAGAGATAGTTCTTAATATTTATTTCTGTAAAATATGGTTATATTTTACCATTTGGGAGGGAGGAGGCTTCAGCCCCAAATCCCCCTCCCCGTAGATCCGCCTATGCAATGCCGTGTATGCCAGTACCACCCAAAATGTTTCGTCCCTTAACCTCCCCACCATGATAAAGAACTCTAACAAAAATCAAAACCTTCAAGATCAGAATTCTAACCACCATCTCTATATTTAATTCTTTAAAATATTTAATAATACAATCTAAAGCCTCACACGTTTGGCCAAACGGTTTAGCACTAATAAAATTTCCTATTCAAACGAATAAGCGCTGATAACATCTTTTAATGACACGTACCTTGAAAAGCTTAACAAATTTTCACACTCATTTTACTCTTTTATTACTTAAATAGTACTTACTGTATTGTTTGTCACGCGATCTCGTGTTGTACGGTATATTTTTACAGTCATCATTTTTATTAAAAAATTGTTTTAAACTTTATAACTTCAAAGCAATATTTTAACAATTTTAATTTATTGCCTATATGATTTGGAATTAAATAAAAAAAATATATAATATTCGTATTTTTAAACTATGTTGTCTATTTAATGTTTAGTAATTTACTAAATAATTTTACGGAGATAATATTTTCTAAGTTATTATTTGGCACGGATAGTTTCTATCGATGGAAAAAAATCTAATAACACAGTAAAAAAATTATTGATTTCCTGCCTATTTGATTTGAAAGCCTAAATATATCTTTAGGCTTACTTATGCTTGATGAAATTTATTAATTTTTTAAAAAATAATTAACAACAGGATTTAACTTTATGTTTGACTGCGATGATAGATATTTTATGTATCAAGCACTAACAAATATTTTAGTGAATATATTTTTAAATAAATAGATTTTTAAGTAAATATATACGAGAATTATTGATCATTCTACAAGTCTTGGAAGAATCTAACTTATAATATATTCTTTAAAAACTACTTCATCTATCTAATTTTCAGTGATTTGATCAATAGTTTTAGTTACTGCCTTTTTACTTTTTTTAAAATTATTATTCGAGTTGGGTTCAATCGGTGAAAAAAATCTGATCCCACAATTAAAATAGTACTGATTTCATTTAATCCAAAAAAAATAATTTAATTTAAATTTATTATTTTTCTAATTATCTAAAGAATTAATTTGTGTATTTGGTTGCGAAGATAGATATTAGTAGGTGTTTATGTTAATAAATATTATTTCTCATACCAAAAGCCTTGGAAGAATTTCAGTTTTTTTTTTTATGGGAGTGGCAGTTTTTCTTCAATCACATTCGGGATTCAGAATAATATTGTTGATTTTGGACTGAATTATTTTACATCAAGATACCTTCAGTTTATTTATTATATATTAATTTTTTTAAAAATAATTTACTAAATAATTAAGTTTTGTATTTCGCTGCGATAGATATTTTATTTATCTAACACTAACGTATATTTTAAAAAATAATAGTTTTTACGTTACTGCAAATTAGTATAAATATGCTCCAATTTTTATTAATAATTTAATAAGAAATTAGTATCATTCCCCATTTTCCTATGAGTTATTTGACAGTATTTGATTTCATCGACGTAAATAAAATTAATGTCCATTCTGCCTGTTAGATCTAAACGCCTACAATAAATTTAGTCTTATTTCTTCTAAGTGAAATTTCTTCCTTTTTTATATTTTATTTATTTAACAATAACATATATATTTTTTTAAATAAGTTTTTATGTAAATTATTGATCATACTAAAAGTCTTGGAAGCAATATTTCCCCAACTTTTATTATATTTTTTTTAAACTATTTTTTGTATCTAATTATCTGTGATTTAAGAATTAATTTTAAGAAATTAAATTTTTTTTCAAGGTATTTTTGATATGGATTAGTACGAATTGATATGGATCCATCCAGGAAAAAAAATCTGATCCCACAAATTAAAAAGTAATGATTTTATTTTTTGAAAATTAAACTGCTACCAATGGATAGTTTCTCAACAAGCGTTTTCATGTGATTGTATTATATTTGTGTGCACATTTACTAGTTGTATTTTTTTATAATACAGTTGCAAATATCAATGAATAAAAAAAAATATTTTTTTTTAAATGTGAAATTATTATTCATATACTGCATATTTGAAGCAAGGGCCTAAAATAAATTTTTAAACTTATTTCGGCTTCGTTGAATTTTTTTTTACAATTCATTAAAAATTGGGACAGATAGATAGAAGATCGGTATTTTATTTATTGGTATTAACAAAAAAAAAAGTGTTTTTTTTTTCTTTGTGAATAAGGCAGTTTTTCTTCAATGACATGCCCGATTCAGAATAACATTTTTGAGTTCGAACTGAATTATTTTAAATCAAGATACCTGGAGTTTATTTATTATATATATTTTTTTTAAAATAATTTACTAGATAATTAAGTTTTGTATTTCGCTGCGATAGATATTTTATTTATCTAACACTAACACATATTGAAAAAAAAATAATAGTTTTTTCGTAAATACAAATTAGTGGTCATATTATAACTCTTGAAAGAATCTGCCTTCTGTATTTTTTATTAATAATTTAATAAGAAATTAGCATCACTCCCCATTTTCCTATAAGTTATTTGACACGATTTGATTTCATCGACGTAAAAAAAGTTAATGTCCACCTTGCCTGTTAGATCTAAACGCCTACAATAAATCATAAGTCTTATTACTTCTAAGTGAAATTTATTACTTCTTCTTTTTATAGAATTCATTAAAAAAATAAGCCTTGTATTCAGCTGCGAACATAGATATTTTATTTATTTAACAATAACATATATATATTTTTTTTATAAATAAGTTTTTACATGAATTCTCTAACTTACTAAAAGTCTTGGGAGCAATATTTCTCCAACTTTTATTATGTTTTTTTGAAACTATTTTTTTTTATCTAATTATCTGTCATTTAATAATTATTTTAAGAAATTATTATTTTTCTTCGAGTTATTTTTTATATGGATTAATTCCATCGAAGAAAAAAAAATCTGATCCTACAAATTAAAAAAAATTGATTTTTTTTTTTTTAAACGGGAAATTATCATCCATACTGCTGCCTATTTGAAGCAACGACCTAAAATAATTTTTTAGACTTATTTCGGCTTGGTTGACATTTTTTTTTTCAGAATTAATTCAAAAATTGGGACATAAGTATTTTTTTTTTATTTTCTTTTTGAATAAGGTAGCGTTTCTCCAATTACTTGATCGATTTTTAATAATATTTTTAAGTTCGGACTATATTATTTTATATCAAGATGCCTGTAGTGTATTTTATTATATTATTTATTAATTTTTTTTTTAGATGATAAAATTGCCTTTGAATAAGCTGTAAAATATTTAGATATAATATAGGCTCTACTACGTCCTTTTTCTTTTCAGTCCGTTGTTACCTTGGCTGACGAAGTGGCGGAGACCGACCGGGCGAGGTTCTGCTTGGGGCCAATGCCGGGGATGCACTGAGGCTTCCAACACCCCCCCCCCCCCTCTCCACGACCCGGCCCCCCTGGTCTGTCGATCTGTAGGAGTCAGTCCTTGTCCGAGAGATGGAGGATTGTAAAGGGGGTGTTCTTGGAAGGATTTCTCAATCCAGGAGGTTTCAGTGCGCAAGGAAGTGGAAGAAACCGAAATGATTGGTATGTTATAATTTATTGTAAAAATTTCAAGAAATCGTACTTGAAGTACATAACATTATCATATACAAATATTATATATGTATTACAGTTTCTATTTTTAAAGAAAGTCAAGATCTCATTAATAATAACAATTAATACTAATTATTTACTTCCTAGTATAACCCATTGCGAACTCTTGCATTAAACAGCTATATTTTTCTTTAAGTATTTAAGTACTTAATTATTTAAGTATTTAAATGACGTCAGAGAAACATTTTTATTCGAAACATTGTTTATTATACAATATAATAATTAAGCAATAAGCTATATCTGAAGTTATACTAATCCATTATTGTAATCACTAAAGAAATATTTGTTTAGTCCACAAGAGCTTTGTTTTATAGTTCTTTCACATACTAAGAATTTAGAAGTCTACTACTGAGAGTATAGAAGCCTACCTGTAATACCTAGATACATTTTTATTTATTAAAAATATTCAAAAATTACTTTCTATATTATCCGGTGTATCGTAGAGCTATTCTCCTGAATAGAGCTATTCTATTAATAAAGGATCATAGAGCTATTCTCCTGAATTTACTTTTCAATTGATTGTAGGTCGTCAAAGACTATCATGAATATCAATATTTTAATTTTTAAATCCTAAACAAACCTTTTTTTTTTAACCTCACACCTGCCATAATGGTAATGACAACCAGTGAATATGAGATCGATAGCCAAACATAAGGTCATGTCATTTATGAGTCTATTAGAATCTCCTAGTAAGTTGTCGTGGAATCGTTTGTAATGTGTTCGTATGTGTTCGTTGACAGTCGGCATATGGGGGTCAGTATGTAAGATTATCTTGCTAACATAAGGTGCTTTTGTAATTGTCCTGAATGTTTTTGCTTGAATGATTTGAAGTTTGTTTAAGTGAGTCTTTTTAGCTGTTCCAAATATCTGTGATGTGTGAGTCCAAATAAGTTATTAAGGTTAAGTAATTATAGGTGTTCGATTTCTGTCTAAGTTTGAGTTTTGGAAGAAGTGAATTCAGAATTCTTAACCTATGATTTAGCGTTTTTCGTTTCTTAATTATATGTGGACCCCACGTCATTTTTCGATCAAATGTCAGACCAAGGTAGTGAACGGTGTTTCTCTGTGGAATCTGTATATTGTCAAGTGAAACTCAAGGGCATATTTCATGTCGAAGCGTAAATGTGATGTGCTGTGATTTGTCTTGATTTAACCGGGTTTTTCAAATTTTGAACCAGTCATTTAATCCTATTAAATAGTGTTGTAGGGTCTGTGAGGCGTATGTTGGATTTTTGTTTCTTGCTAAAATTGTTGTGTCGTCTGCATATGTCGCTGTTAAAATGTAGGAACTACAAGGTATATCATGGGTGTATGTGGTGATATAGAGTAGTGGAGTGAGTATTGAACCTTGGGGCACGCCTGCTGACCCGTGTCGGTCGGAGAAAAATATGTCGGAAAGGAAGGATTCACTAAACAAACTAAAAGGCATTTTGCAAACCGCGTTTTGATAAATGTGTCTAAATCTTTAAACCACAATTTATTGTGTCACAATTCGATGAAATTGAAACATTCCAATTTTTTCATTGACTTTTTAAAATGTTTAAAATTAATTAATTTAATGAGGCGCTAATGAATAGCCCATTTCTTCCCACTTTAATATTAATGTAATTTGGTCACAAAATAGAAAAAAAAAATATGGCCTACAAAAATATTGGGCCATTTGGTCTGTACAACATCGTTATATTAATATATTGGGAGTAGAGGCCACGCCAAACAACCAATATTTTCGTTGGTCACTTTTCTAGATTTTGTAATCAATTTGTCTTGCGATTCAAATGGAAAGGAATTGGGTGTCCATGAGTGTTTATTACCTAATTATATATATAAAGTTTACTGATTCCCAAATTGAAAATGCCACATTTTCTAGAATTTTCGTAAATAAAAAAAGTTGTAGTTTACAAGATACTAAGCAGTAAATGGATGCTGATAATTTTATGAAAGGCGGTCTGTATCGGGGATTACTGCTTCATATTCAAACATCGGCAAATGAATAAAATTTGCTTGCTCCTGTATACTGTATAATTTAATTAACTGTAGAATTGCAATTGTAATGAACAGTTAATTAAGCACCGCTTTGTATTCCTCTAACCCAGATTAATGTGCATAATTTTCGAACTCTATTATTATTCATAGAGGATAGTAGTCCCAGAATATTTTTTTTATTTTCGTTTCATTTTTCAATGTGAAAAAAATTGTTCCGAAGTCGGATCGTTGAGCTAAAGTTGGATCGTTTTCGGAAGATAATATAACTCTATCGTCATCGAAATTTAATTTAATATATAATATATATATATATATATATATATATATATATATATATATATATATATATATATATTAATATATTATATAACCCGTTTTCAGTTGGCAGAATAGCTATTTCTAGTTGGAAAATTTATAATATCTGTGTAGACTATGAGTAAGTTGATTCCAGAGTAAGTGATTGCTGTGTTGAAATATACAACTGTGAATAAAGGTATACATTTCCACACAAGAAATATCACTAACATTACTAATCAAAAATATTTAAATTGGAGACAGTCATTCTATCAACTGAGAGGCTCTTATATCGTTGTTATGTGGCACGAAAGTTTTGCCTAATCTCAGTGCCCTATTAGTGAAATCGACTATAATATAGATTTTATTTTAATTATTGACGTAATTTTCATTGTAACTTGTAGTATACTTAAATAAAGAAAACATTAATAATATTTTTTTAGTTTTCTTGAATAATTTTGTTTCTCCCGAATATCGTTGTAAAAGTTAGAGTTAGAGCAAAAAAATGATGTTAGTTGACATTGTAAATAAAAAATCGATGTTCTAATATTTTACCATAATCAAGATGGCTTAAGTAATGATTTCCATTACTCAGTTCATCATGTCTTCATGATAGTTCTATTGAAAATTATAATAATTGATCTTAATATTTTAGTATGATATATAATGATTTATTAATAAATATTTTTGAATATTGGGGCAAAACATTTTTTTTTTTTTTTTTGGTTACTAGAGCACCATGGGATTTTATTTAAGATAGGAAAAATTCAGATAATCCGACTTACAGACACTTATACAACATATTCTGAAAAAAATGAATTAAATAGAAGTACTACAAAAACGCACGTGGGACTACATCGTAACCTATATTCAGAGTTAGTAAGAGGAGATAAAATCTTTTAATGGATGTCTTTGACAAATATAGCTCATTTTGGCTGCCAAAAACAGCATTGATAAAAATAAAAATACGGTCTTATGTAGAATTATAATTTTAAAACAAATATTTTGCTTTACTTATTTATTGGAAAAACAAAAATAACTATAAAATAACAATAAAAAACTGTACATTTTTTCAACTAATTAAGAAAATATTCATGTCTTCAATTTGTATTTATGATTAATTAATTAATAGTAATTAACAAGCATTTTTGAACCCATTCTCATCCATAAAAAACACATAGAAATAAAAATTTTTGGTTACATTAACATATATTTATATGTGTAACGTTTCGGCATTTTTGGCCTTTTTCCAAACATTTCTGTTTCACCTGTTTTATACCAACTGTCAATAGTTTTTTTATTTGTCAATATTATTTAGACAAGAAAAACAATTTTTTTTTTTTTCTGTCAGGAATTTTTGGTCAACAAAAATATGTTTTATATGTTGTTAACGAAAAATTCCTTTTTTGAAATCAGACTGAAATGTTAATTTATTTTTAAATAGCTAAATTTTCCCTAATTATTTTATAAGTTCAAATAACCTTTTTTTTTAAATATAAAGTATAAGATCTTAGTCCTTAGTTGATGAACATAACAAACATATTGATTTCTTATTTGACAATTGATACTTAATGCTTTACTTTCACATTGTTAATTGAAAAAAGTTTTATATGTTGTTTACAAACAATTCCTTTTTCGAAATCAGACTGTAATTTATTTTTAAATAGCTCGATTTTCTCTAATTATTTTATAAGTTGAAATAACGTTTTTTTAAAATATAAAATATAAAATCATTGACCTTAGGTGATGAACAGAAGAGACGTATTGATTTGATATTTGGTAGTTAATATTTTACTTTAACACTTAATTGTTCTCGGAAAAGAAAAACAGGTCCTTCTGAGACGGTAAAGGAGTTTGCTTCTGAGAACGATCGGTTAATGAATGATACAAGGTACTGATGGTGAACAGTTATTTCTAATAATGAACCTTTGTAAGCTACGAAAAAAATAAAATAAATCTCCTTATTTCGTCGGTATAAGAAAAAAAAACTTTTTTTTTAAAAATAAGTAAAATTTAAACATCGAAAATTGGGAGTAAGTTTTAATAATAAGGGTACAGGATTGTTGTCAGAGTGAACAATAAATAAATTTTAAAATAGTGGATTGATGGTTTACTGTTGTGAAAATTGAAGAGGGATTGGTTGGGGTGTTCACTCAAAAAAAATAAAAGTAAATATAAATAAATACTATTTATTTTTATTTTTACCGACGTTTCGGCCCTAAGTTCAGTCCTTCATCGGTGCTGATTCTACGAAAGATTTCCGTAAGATGAGTTCACCTTGCATATGTCCTTGTCCTGATGAAGGCCTGAATTTTGGGCCGAAACGTCTGCGAAAATAAAAATATCATTTATTTATTTTTCACTTTTTTTTTTTTTTTACAACACTCCAACCAACTTCTCTTCAATATATTTTAAAACGTTAAGTGTATTTATTTATTATTTCATATTGGCGCTCTGATCCTGCAAGAACCTGTGCCGCTCTTATAATTTTCCTCCACTCTCCTCTATCCCGGCGAGCATTCGCAATCTTCGGATTCCTTCATCCTTTTCAGGATGTCCTCCAGCCATCTCAGGTGCG